AAAATTATGATATGCACGAGGACTTCCTTGGTCTATATAAACTAAAGCAATTAGATGCCGACTCTTTAACAAAAACAGTTAAAGATGTTCCACTCCGATTTTCATTAAGTCTAGAAAACTGCCGTGGCCAAGCTTATGATGGAGCAGCAAAGATGACATGACATTTACGTGGCCTAGAGGCTCAATTGAAAGAAGAAAACGACGCAGCTATTTCTTTCCATTGCTTTGCACATTGTTTAAAATTGTGTTTGCAAGACTGCACCAGACAATGCACTTTGGTCCGGGACAGTCTTTCACTTGTATCTGAAATTGCTTACATGATAAAGAATTCATCTAAGAAATTTACTGTCTTTGATAAAATCAGGCAGCAGATGTTGTTTGATAATGACCCATTAAGAACCTGAAGCCATTGTGTCCTACTCGCTGGGCTGTTCGTTCTTGTGCCTTTGAAGCATTGTTAGAAAAAAAGAATTACAAGTCTGTTATAAATGCAATGGCAGAAATTGGAGAATTGGTATCAGATGACTCTGGGCCCAAAGCGAGGGGAATATTGCAACAGCTTCAAAAATTTGAAATATATTTTAGCATGAAAATGTGTTTTCTTTTTTTTAATGCAACAGAGCAGGCTTCAGGTATGTTGCAAACGAAAACAACATACCTGAACTGAAGCTATGAAGTGTGTCACAGTCACCAAACAGTATTTGCAAAGATTAAGAGATACATCGTTTAATCAGTTCTACGAGGAAGTAAAATCTGAAGCTGATGATTTGGAAGTAAGTGAGCCGTCAATTCCACGGGCTCGAAAACAACCACGGTGGTTAGATTCTTGCTCAGGACCTCATATTTTCACAGATGTTTCTGATTATTTTAGACAAAAGTTTTATGAAGTCGTTGACCTCTTGATTGGTGAACTTGACTTGAGGTTTCAGCAGCCATCTGTAAAAAATGCCATTAATATGCAAACGCTTTTATTGAACTCGGCAAACTTAGAGTCAGAAACTATCGAGATCCATCACTGTCAAAAATGTACCCTGACATTGACTTGACAAGGTTGACATGGCAACTTCACATGCTACCTGAATTAATCAAACAGAGCAAAAGCAACAAAGTAAACCCAATTACTAAGATATCAATCATCTCAACATTAGTTGAAATATTTGCCAAACATGATGCATCTAAAATGTTTGATGAAGTGTCTAAAGTTCTAAGAGTCTTTCTTACTATACCGGTCAGTACAGCAACAGCAGAAAGATCATTTTCCAGTCTAAGGAGGCTAAAACATATCTCCGTTCTACTATGAATCAAAAAAGATTAAACAGCACCATTGTGAGTCATATTCATAAAGATATTTTAGAAGA